GTTTCCCTGACCTATGATTGCTTTGGTATAGGAAGCTCCCAGCATGGAAATTCCCTCCACTGGTACAGATCAGCAACTCTTCTGTAAGTTAGTATCTTAAAGAATCATCTGGAGCAAGTTACCAAAAGATCGTTACCAAGCAGTAAAGTGACTTGCCCAGGGTCACATAGCTAGTATTTAAATCCAGGTCTTCCTGCTTCCAAAGATGATTCTGCCTCTCATTTAAAAATAAAAATTATTCTGATTGTTGACAAATTAACAAATATATCCAGTTTAAAGATACACATATGAATATATTATATATATTATGCACATGTATAATGCATATATACACACATATATATTCATTCTTTACTAAGGGTTTAAAGCAAAAATGCAAGGAAGGGGAAGAAAAAGGAGCTTTCTAGGAGGGATTTTACTTTGTTACTTTTCTGGGCCATCTCCTTGAGCTGAAAGTCAGTGAGACCTACTTCTCCAAATTAAACCAAAAGGGAGAAGTTGGTGGAAGGTCAGGACTAAGTCACTCAGTGGAATAAGAAGTCGTTCAGTAGTAATAAACATTTAGACTTATAAAATTGAAAATTGATTTTAATTCTATTTTAAAGACTTAATCGTGGGTTTATTACTCTCCCAGACCAGTGTGATTTAGGTTAAAGCTGGTCTTTAAAGAAAAAAAAAGAAAGTTTCAGAGATTGAAATTTACATTGCCTTTCAGCAGAGGGGAAGGAAGGAAGGAAGGAAGGAAGGAAGGAAGGAAAAAATCATTGTTGTTCATCTGGAAGTTTGGTCCCCAGTCGGCGGCTCCTTTTCTGTTCACAGAGGTTGCTGTTTGTCCTTTGTTCTCTAAGAGGACCACTAAATCAGGGACATGGTGCTGTGATATGCAAGCGAATTGATTTAAGTGAGGGATATAGGTCAGGACAAATGGAGATGGCCCAGATGCTCTCATCAATTGGCCCCCCATAGGTCCCAGGCTATGCCCTACTTGGTCACTGTTTGGGCTCTGATTGACTCAGAATAAATGTAAATAGCAATTGTATCTGTTTTGGTCAGAAACCCAGAGGGACTTCCCCTCCAGATATGTGTATATACATATATGTATATATACATATATTTTTTAAGGAGGGTATTCTTTGGCTCTTTTCTTATTAAGCCTTAATTACTGAATGGGTGCAGCCTCAGTCAAACAGAGACCTATTAAAGACCTTAGCTAGAAAAGGCCAAGGTTCCCCATTGCATCCTGGGCTATCTTCAGTTGTCCTGATCTATAGAATGTCACTGGACCCAGATGGCTCCAGAGGAGAAGGTGAGGCTGGTGACTTTTCACAGCCCTCCCTCATTTAAATTCAATTCACTTGCATGTAGTAGCATCACTTCCCTCATGTCCTGGTCCTCTTCAACAACAGAAGGACAAACAGCAGACCAGAGCAAGTTTAAAATCCTTACCTTTGTAACTCCACCCTTCATCCATCTACATCCCAGAGAAGTTACCTAAAGGCCAAGCTTTTGTCTTGTAATTACCTCCACTCAGGACTGAATTCTATTAGGAATTGCTTCTCCACCCTTGGTTGGTAACCTCAGCACTGCCCATTTATCCCAAGTTCCAGTTCCTTTGTAACCTTACCCATAATCCACTCAATTCAAATTCCATTTGATTCAATCAAAGTCCAAGTCTGAAGTCTAATCCTATCACCCGAGGATTATGCCAAACTCCCAAGAAGGAAGTAATGGGGAGGAGCTAAGGTGACTCAACCCACCTCCTCATTAAAATGTCTACCAATCAGGATTGTCATGATGGGATGTCAAGCCAACAAAAAAAAAAAACCAACCATTTATCTTGCTAGCGATTTTTCTCTATCATTTTGCTAATTTTTTAAAAAAGACTTTGTCAGCCCTCACTCTCTTCATAGCCTTCACTTTTTGTTCATTTTGGTCTGACAATCAACACCAAGAAAAATAGAGAGCCTCCACCAGCTAGTATTGCCTGGGCTATCCATATGTGGAACCATTGATCACAGTAAATGGAGAAAGTGAATGCTGTGGATAAGTTCACTTACCTTGGCAACATACTTTCTAGAGCTGCCCATATAGATGATGAGGTTGATGCATGCATTGCCAGAGCCAGTTCAGCATTTGGGAGGCTCTGAAAGAAAGTTAGGGAGAGAAGAGGTTTTGGGCTACATACCAAACTGAAAGTCTAGAGTGCCATCATGCTGACTCCACTGTTATATGCCTGTGAAACCTGGACCTATTAGCACCATGCCAGAAAACTGAAGCACTTCCATTTGAGTGGTCTTAAGATTCTAAAGATTACCTGGCAAGATAAGGTATCCAACACTGAGCTCCTCTCTGGAGTCGAACCACCAAGGATTCATATTACTGCAGAGAGCACAACTCTGCTGGGCTGGCCATGGAGCCCAAATGCTAGATGCATGCTTACCTAAAAGACTGTTTTACAGAGAACTTACACAAGGCAAGCACTCACATGGTGGTCAGAAGAAGTGGTACAAGGACACTCTCAAGGTCTCTCTGAAGAACTTTAGTATCAATTGTGAGACAGAGGAGAAGCTGGCACAGGACTGCCCAGCATGGCATGCTCACATCAAAGAAGGCACTGTATTCCACCAACAAAGCAGAATCATGGTAGCACAGAGGAAACACGAGCTGTGTAAATCCAGAGACATCTCCATCCCAAATGTTCTAACAGATGACCTTGAGCCTTCTGAACTCCTATTGGACTGATCAGCCACAGCCAAACAAACCTTACCCTGACCTCAAAATCACGATGTTATTGGTCCTCTTTGAAAACAAAGGTCAAGTAGCAATCTGTATAGTACCCCACCATCCACCCCCACCTCTGGGGACAGAGGAATAGATATTATTTTTAGTTCTAGAGTTGGGTCACAACTCCTAACACTGTAGATTATGAGCCCCCACCATTATGCTTCACATTAAGAATCAACCAGTAGACTCAATTAGTTCTTAGAAAGGCCTTTATTCAAATGGCACAGAAATAACAGTAGTTACAAAACATTTCCTGTGAAACCCTGGAGTGCACAGTCCCACAAACATGTATAGAATACGGAGAGGGGGAGAGAGTGGGCACAAGCTTAAAGCATAATTGTAGTGAGGCACCTGTGGTTGAGACAATTCTGTAATAGCAAGGTCTCGATGACTTCTCTCTCTGTAGTCCTTATGATCAATGTGTCTTTGGTGATGGATGGGTCACTCTCCTGCTAGGTTGTGTTGACCACCCACATGCTTAGATGGGTAACTTGGCTGGGTTTGCTCCTTGCTGGGCACCATATCTCTGCTGTATGGTCTGATCTGCCGGACACCCCAGACTAGTTCTTCAATAAGTAGTTGCAGCTTTGACCACCTCCAGCCTCAGGCTCAGGTGGGTTTTACTTACTGTATTTAGAAGCGGCAGAGATGCTTAACCTAAGATTGGCAGAAGCCTCTCCAGGTCTACTCTCTCAAAACTTTGACTCTGAGGCTTGTTAACTGCCAGGCTAGAGGTTAGAGAGGTATATCCTCTCCTGTTTAACAATCCTTCCCTCAGGCCAACTCTCTCAGCTACTGGGGGAATGCTGCTGTTTGTACTTCCTTCTTAAAGAGGCTCAAGACATCAGGGAGGTGATGTCATGATATGCAAGTGAATTGGATTTGAGTCAGGGAGGGCTGTGCAAAGTTACTAACCTTATTTTCTCCTCCAGAGCAATCTGGGTCCAGGGGCAAGATACAGATCAGGACAACTAGAAATAGACCCAGGTGCAGTGGGAACCTCGGCCTTTTCAGGCTAATGTCTTTAACAGGTCTCAGTTTGACTGCGTGTAGGAAAAGTGATTTCATAAAGGTGCCATTAATTGAGACAAGCGGACTTTCACCATACAGGTACAAGTAGATGTTTTTAGTGCTTTGGACTGGAAGGGCCCTGCCCCTGCTCATGAGCACTCCCTGGTGGTTTGACATCAAAGAACACCCTGACAAATGAACCCTTTTAAATACCCATTCCTAAAGGTATCTAGGCTTTGCTTTACTGTGAAGAGAGGAGACAAGAAAAAAACAAACAAATACCAGGGAGATAATTTTCTCAAAGGCACATAAGGCTTGTTGAAGGTGAAATTTTTGTTGGGACTTGAAGCCAAAGAATCTAGGAAATGGAGATGAGATGGGAGAGGAGGTGGGAGAATACAGGTGTGGGCATCAGCCAGTGAAATTTCCTGGAATCAGGAGACAGAATGTTTTGTGTGACAAACTGGAAAGTGTTTGAATAAAAGCCATTACAGATCCCCTTAGTTTCTAATGTCTTTGCTCTCCATCATCTTCAATTTATATCAAAGTATACCATTGGACATAGTTTTCTGTATATTGTCTTTCCCATTAGGCCACGAACTCCTTGAAAGCAGGAACTACTTTGTCCTTTGTCTCTTCAGCTCTTAGCACAGTGCCTGACACATAGTGGGTGCTTAAAATTCATTGACTGACTAGTCAGAGACTTTGAGAATCCAGCATCAACTCTATATTATAATGGAGTTTTAGAGTTCAATTTTTTTGTTTTGTTTTGGCAATTAGGATTAAGTGACTTGCCCAGGGTCACACAGCTAGACTAGTGTCAAGTGTCTGAAGCCAGATTTGAACTCAGGTCCTCCTGACTCTAGGGCCAGTGCTCTATACACTGCTCTACCTAGCTGCCCCTAGGGTTGGACTTTTGTGAAGCCACTTTGACAATACTATAAAATGTTTCAGAATGTCAAGATTAAGAAAAAGCTTTTAGATTTGACAATAAGGTTATTGGCGAAGCATTTAGTCACTATATGTTAGTGACCTTGGAAAAGGGAGTTTCAATAGAGTGATATGGTTAAAAGTCAGGTTCCAAGGAGTTTGTTGAAAGGAAAATTCTTCATTTGGGTTTTAATGGGGCAAACCTTATTATTGAGGCAAAACTTAAGTATGTCGAGGTAGCAACACGTTGACAGTTTGTTCTCTGGAGATCAGAAATGGCTTCAAGGTGGGTCCAGTTTTTATTGAGAACTTTTATAATGAGATAAAAGATAATTCAGATAGGTCACTGTCAGCAAAAGAGGCTGCGTTCTTGCATCTCAGTTCCTCCCCTAGGTAGTGAGAAGGTGAGGATTTGCAGGTAGGGATCGATGACAAACGGGTCTGGAAACAATGGGTCACTGAGTCAGCCTACTTTTCTATAGGTTGGGACGAGTAGGTGGTAAAGAAGAGGTGATGGCAGACATAGACTATTCCTTTAGACGTTGGCAATGAAGGAGAGGATAGATATAGGGCAATAACTTTAGGGAATAGGGTCATGGGAAGATTTTTGTTTAGGATAGGAAAGACATTATTATGGATGGGCTCGATTTTCTCAGCAATTTAGGAAGTGAGATCTGAGAGATGAAGATGGGGGAGGGAGGGGACAGAGGAGAAAGATGTGCCTCCTGGCACACAGTAGGAGTTTAATAAATGTTTACTGATGATGATTACAGAAGGGCTCAATTTTAAAGAGCTGGAGATGGGGGAGGGCAGAGAAGAGAGATGCGCCTCTTGGCACATAACTGGAGCTTAATAAATGTTTATTGATGATGATGATGATGATACAGATGGTCTCAATTTTAGAGGGATGGAGATGGAGGGTGGGGAAGGGGCAGAGATGAGAGATTTGGAACAACCGCTGTGGGGAAACGTAATCAGAGATGATTAAAAGGGTGGCCCGGCTGCACAGTACTGAGACCCAGAAGGGATAAGGACGCACCCGTGCCTGGTACATAGTAGGCGCTTAATCAATGGTTGTGGACTGACAGACGGACTCAAGGGTCCGCTCAAACCCAAGACGAGGGAAGGGAAGGCAGCGCCTCTCTATGGTTCCTCCAGGCGCCTAGAGCGCCGGCCACCTCAGGAGCACTTCCGGGTTGCCGGCCGGCGGCGTCTCGTCGTCATGGAAACGGCGCGCTTTCGGGCAGTGGCGGGGACGCGTGCCCCCGGAAGTACTCGTCCGTTGCCATAGGGAGGGCCGGAGGACGGGGGGAGGGAAGATGGCGGCGTTGCAGGTGGCCGGGGGGCCGGTGTGTGGGGCCCGGGAGCCGCCGCCGGGCCCCGGGAGCGGATTCCGCCGCCTGTCGGCTCGCCTGGCCTCGCTGCGCCCCGCGGACAGCAGCTCCGCCCGCACCGAGATCCACCTGCTGTTCGACCAGCTCATCTCCGAGAACTACAGCGAGGGCGGCGGGGGCGTCACGGCGGAGGTACAGGCGGGGCGGCTGGAGGTGCGGGGCGCGGCCGGGGGGCGGGCGGGCAGCCCGGGCCCCCGCCCACCACTCCCGGGGCTCCGGACACCTCGCATCCGTTGCGACGGTTTCCCGTCGTAGCGCACTAGAAACCGCCCCAACGTCGATCCCAACGGTCCTGCTGGCCCCCAGTAGCTAGGACCGACCCCACCTAAGCGGGCGGGTGGGCGCCTCCTGACACGTCACCCCCCCCCGGGGGACCCCACAACGAGGGGCACACCCCTCCCTCATTTTACAGGCGGGGGAAGCCGAGGACCAGGGACGAGGGAGTGATTCCCCCCACTGTCACCGAGCTGGTTTGGGATTCCAACCCAGGTCTCGACCGACTTCCAAGCCTCCCACTGAAATTTTTCATTAGGCTGCCTGCGATTGCTGACATGCATATAAAAAAGGACCTAAAGGACCCTCTGGTCCAACCCCCTCCCCATTTTACAAGTGGGTAAACTGAGGCTCCTCCAAGTCCCAGCTAAAATCCCACCTTCTCGGGGACCCCTCCCCGATCCTTTAATTCTTGTAGTGCTTCTATTGATTATTGCCCATTTATCCCTCTTGTAGCTTGTTTGTGCAGAGGTGTTTTCCTGTCTCTCCTGCTATACTGGGAGTCCTTGGGGGCAGGGACTGTCTTCTGCTTTACTTTGTATCCCCACTCAGCGATGTGCACATAATAGGTGCTTAATAGATTTTTTGTTTACAGATTGACTGTTGAAGGCCCAGGAGGTTAAGGGACTTGTCCAAGAAGCCGCCCTCTTCTCCAGATTCTTTTCCCTTTATCAGACCTTCCATTCAGACCTTCTACTATTCCATAGAAAGTCTAGTTTTACTTAATTCCTTGATCTTTTTAGCCAGTGTGTGAACTTTTCTGTTATCTCAGTTCATCATCCATTTATTAAGCAACCACTGGGTCCAGAGCTCTGTGCTGATGCTGAGAAAAATACAGAGTTTAGGCTTTGCCCCCCTGCGACTTATAGTCTAGTAAGGGTCTAGGACAGTCATAAAGTATAGTCTAGGAAGGTCTTTAATAAGTGCACAAGAAGTCAGTTCTTCTTTTGGGGCAGGACCTGGGTAGATAGAAATGTTCAGAGTCTGGTTACAGTATGTCTAGAGTGTTATTTTAGTCTGAACATGGCCTGGGGTCTGAAATCATAGCATCATAGAATGTTAACTTTGGGATGGGGCTTGGAGTTCTCTAGAGCAGGGGTTCTTGTAGTCCGTGAAGCCTCAGGAGATCTGTGAACTTGAATGGGGAAAAAAATTACATCCTTCTTTCAGTGTAACTAGCTTCCTTTGTATTCTATGGATGTTGTTTTATGCAAAACATTATTCACCAGACTGCCCAAGAGGTCCATGACACAAAGAAAATTAAGAACTAGGTTAAGATCTAGGTGGACAAACCTTTGGTTTGTATGTCTTTATATGTATGCGTTTATGTATGTATACACATATGTACATACACATGTACACACATATCTATATACACACAATGTGTCGTGTGTATATATGGATGGATCTGTAAATATGTAGTATATAACATAGGTATATGTGCGTGTGTGTATATGTATATACACATACACATAGTCCCACTAACTAGCAGGAGCTCCACCCTAACCTGCCCTCCCCCAGCCTTGGTCTCATGTTCTTTCTACCCTACTGGGTTTCGTGCTATTACTTTTTCCTCTATATTATTAGTATGTCCCTGTTCCCCCATTGTCCTTTTTTCATCCTTCACTTTTTCCTGTTTTGGAATGCTAACCTTAGCTCTGATTTGCTTTATGTGTTGGGGGCTTGAATTGGACGAAAAGGTCTCCTGTCCTATTGTGTTTATTATTTTCATTCTTTTGGTAGGATGTCAGTGCCTTACTGGTCCAGGCCTGTCGACTAGTTCATCTTAATCAGGAACATCTAGTCAGCAAAGTTTCTCAGCTTATTCACCATCTGCTTAACAGATTGCAGGTAAGAACACCCTGGGGGGCTTGGATTTGGGGAAGAAGAAAAGTCGAGGACCCATCTGTGATTTTGTGGGTCTGTCACTTAGGAGGTAGAGTTTGGAGAGCTTGGTGAAGCTCAGAGTAACAGGTGACTTGTCTGTGGTGACATCTCAAGTAAGCATCAGAAGCAGGATTGGAACCCTGGTTCTCCCTGACTGCAGCATCTCTACGGGTCGCTACATCAGATTCCTCTCACCGACCAAGAAAAGTCCGCAGACAATTATCTGAAATGTTGATTTCTTCTCTACCTCTTGTCATTGGGTAGCTGTGTCATTGTTGATTGCTGTCGGGTTGTTTGGTTTTTGTGGGGGGAAGGAGTGTGGCTACTTTTGATCTAGGAGGCAGTATGGAATAGGGGGTAGAGCATCTGGCTCAGAGTAAGGAGATTGGGGTTCAAATCCTATCTCAGACACTAGGTGGCTGTAGGACCTTAGGCAAGCTACTTCACCCTCTGTGCCTCAGTTTCCTCAACTGTAAAACAAGGAGGTTAGACTTGATGACTTCTACCGTCCCTTCTAACTCCAAATCTATGATCTGTATAAAATATACGACTACTTTGAAGACTTTTATTTTTCCTACTAGGTTAAAAAAGGATTTCTTTTATCTCACTTATCATTTCCCAGCCCATATTATAATATGGTTTTCCTCTTTTCTCCAGTATCTTTCACAAATTGCCAAATATATTTAATACATTTTAATGCAAAGTGCAGTGCCAGTAGGGCTGTTATTAAATGAGATGATTCTGAAAGGTCTTCACGAAACAAATTGTGCCCAACATACATCCAGGATTGTTTTTGTGTGTACATGGGCACGTAAGGCTGTTGCCTGAAAGGAATTAGATTGTGGTCTAATTAGGTTGTGTCACTTAAGATTTTCCTGGGGTTGGGCACTAGACCTGTAATTTGATGTGGAAGCTCCCTCTGCCAATGAGGTTGGCACCTTCTTTCGTCTCAGGCACTGGGAGTCGCCCCTCTCTGTGCTCATTTCCTCATGAGTGAAATGGGGATGATAAGAGGACCCACCTCACAGGGTTGTTGTGACGGTCCAGTGACTTCACAGGTGTGAAGGGCTTCGCCCACCTGAAAGGCTCTTGACCTGCCAGCTGCTGCCTTGGAGCACCGAGATGTGAGGGACTTGTCCACAGTCACGTGGCCTTGGGGTGTCACAGGTGGGCCTTAAACCTAGGTCTTACCTGCTCCAAGGCAGGTTTTCTCCTCACTACGCCCACTTCTGATTTTAATACTGATGGGAAACTGCGGCAGGCAGTGTCTGCAGGACGTCCCCAAAGTCTGAGGCTTTGGGACATCCTCTGTCATTGGTTTGCCTCTTTGCTGCTGTCATGGGCGTCATATCTGTAGCCTGATCAATTGAAAAGATGCCCAGTTTTCCTTGGCACTTAGCATCTAACCCATGCATTTGGCACTAGCTTATACTTTGTCTCTTACTCAGTCAAAATCATTTCAGTGAATTTACAGGTCTGGTCCAAAAATATTTTTGATTAAACACACCTGTATCAGGCAGCTGCCATGTCCCATGAGCTGTGCCAGATGCTAGAGGCAGGTGGGGGTAGACGTGGTGAGAACTGTACAGCAATGCTACAGTACAGGTTACAAAATGATTTTAAAAAATAGGAAAAATCAGAGTGACCTGAGAGATTTAAAGAGTGCGGGATCCTGTCCAGCTGGGGCATCACAATGCCAGGATGAGAGTGGAACGTCTAGCACTGTCCAGTTTAGCCAGAATGCCCATAGAGCCTCCCAACCCCACCCCCAGGGTAATGTGGTGAAGGCCGAAAGAGACAGGTAGTGGAGGCCTCTAATGAGTGCTGGGCTAAGGTGGGGGGCGCCAGGGTGACACCAGAAGAGGCGATCAAAGCTTGGTGGCATTAGGAAGGATGGGTTAGAGAGGGGAGGAGCCAGAAGCAGGAAGGCAAACTAGGAGGCAGTTGGGCTCCTCCAGGGACTAGTGGGTAGCAGGAGCAGAAGAGAGGGGGCACGGGTGCAAGAGATGCTCTGATGGAAGGATCTTGTGGTTCAGGAGTGTCTGAGTGTTATTTCTCACAGAATTGTCATCTGTTGAGAGTCGGGACTGTGTCTTAGATGTCTTTGGTATGGTCTTTAGGCCTGGTATTATGCCAATCACATGGTGAACACTGTTCACAGCTGTTTGATTGAGTACCTTCTATAGACCAGGCAGTCAAACTGAGAATATTCATTGAATGTGTATAATGTAAAAGATAGAGTTGTACACACACACATATGTATGTGGGTGAGTGTAGTTAACATTACATATTTAGAATGGAAATATTTTTCAAAATTGGTTGTGTCTGTCTTTTCCCTCTCTGGTGGTAGGTGATTGTTGATGAACAGAATCTGGATTTCCTTTTGGCATACACAATCTCTGCTTTTCAACAATGTAGTTCCTGGACACACATGGAAATTCTTCAGGCCTTGTCTGCTCTGGTTTACTACAACGGCCCCAAATGTCAGAAGGTAGTCTGTATTCCCTTTCTTCTTTACCGTGGGAAGAGGGAAGGGGGAAATTCTTCCCACGGTTCCCCCTCACCTCTCCATGGTTTTTGATCATTCTGTAGAAATCACAGAGGGTATTTGTAGCCTGAGTGCCCAAGGGCTATCATTCTTCTCCTGAGCTACCTGTAGCTTTAATGAATTAGAATTGTACAAAAATCAAGTGTTTGCAAATAAGGCAGCCAAAGTGTGGAAACTATTTGAGTCCATCTTGGCCTCATGAGGTTGCCCAGTGTTGTAAGAACCTTGGTCAGGGTGTGAGCACCTCCCCATTGCCTGTGCTGCTCCTAGTCTGGCCTGTGGCTTAGTGGGCAGAGCCTGGAGCTTCCCTGCCCACTCTCAGGCCTGTCCTCAGCTGCAGATGTGGCCAGAGAGCTTCTGCTAGCCCCTCTCTTCTGATCGTCTGAGCACATTGTGTCTGACATTTCTTGGCTTGCTCCTATGTAAGGTGCACACAGCAGGCCCTGCAGTGCTTAATTGCCTTTTTGTACAGCCCACCCACACTCACCTCTCACCCAGGGAAAAAGAGAAAGAAAGAGAGCTTTGTCTGTGGCCGAGCATTCCCTGATCCGTTGTCTTGGGCCACCTCTGGCTGTTGTATTTGTTCTAGTACCTTCCAGACTTGCTCGGGGAGACTGGAATCCTGGTGAAGCTGAGCGATCCCAGCCAGTCGGACCCTGACCTCAGCCGAGCCGCAGTGCACTGTATGGCCAACATATGTCTCAGGTAAGGGGGCCAAGTACTGCGTGGGGCCTGGGGCCATTGGTGGGAAGCAGAACCTGTCTGAAATTTAGGAAATTAACCCACACTTGGAGTTTCCCGCAGAGTTACGGAATCTGTGAAGTGCCCTAACAGTGTACGTGTCACAGGAGACTGCAATTTTTATATTTTGCTTGTAAAACTACCTTATAAGGAAATATTTTTTAAAATTACCGTATCAGAGAAAATTAGTCACCAATCCACTTTCCCTAGGAGGTGCCCAGTTAGTAAAGAAATACTTTACTATTTGACTGACCTTTTCTATTTGACTGGCCTAAAATTGGATTATTTTTAAGTCTGGAAAGGATACGTTGTTAGACATTTGGGACTTCTTTGTCAATCTCTACCATTATTATAGCCACTTTTCTCCCTTTTTAAAAACATAGATAGGAAGCCCCAAGCGTTCGGTTTAGAATGATGTGATGAACTCATTCTGTGGTCCCACAAAACAAAGGAAAGAGTAGTAAGCTGCAGTGACTCAGGTTGTCCTGTCTGTGTGCCATCCAGTTTTTCGTTGCATCAAGTGCCTGCCATGGGCGGGGTCTTGGGCTTGTGACTGTAGGCTGGTGTAGCCCAAGAGCCCTGGCCCCCGGCCCCTGCAGGCCTGGCTGCCCATCCTGGCTGGCCATGAGATCACAACTCGACCACTTGGCTTCCCTGCTCTTTGGTCTCCTCATCTCCAAATTGAGGGGATTGGACCAGATCAGCATTCTCAGCCTTTGGCGGTCATGGGTCTCTTTGGTAGCCTGCGGAAGCCTGTGATCCCCTTTGCTGAAGAATGCTTTTAAAAAATGAAGTGAAATGCTAAATGTGAGTGAGAAGTTAGTAAAGATGTACTTTTTTTCTTACTCAAGCTCCTGGCCCTTGAAATCTATCCATAGACAACCCTCCCCAAATTAAGTACCCTTAGACTATGTGATTTCTCAGGTTCCTCTTGTATAAAAATTCTCAATTTCTATGCTTCCGTAATACAAAGAGGTATACAACATGATTCCTGCCTTTTCTAGACCTTGGGGCTTATGGTCTGACTAAGGATGATGAAACATAAACATGTGAAAAGTAAAATAAAATGAGAAGATTGATTAATAGTTCAAAATAGCAGCCAGATAGATGTACAGATAGGGCATCTAGGCGGCACAGTGGATAGAGCACTGGCCCTGGAGTCAGGAGGACCTGAGTTCAAATTTGGCCTCAGACACTTGACACTTATTAGTTGTGTGACCCTGGGCAAGTCACTTAACCCCATTGCCTAGCCAAAAAAACAAATAAAAACCAAATAGGTGTACAGGATTGCCCATCTAATCAATTACGTAGTGATCCACAGCAGCTGTGAGTGTAGATCCCGGAGTCGAGGAGGGGTTGCAGGATGTGTGAAGGGACCTTAGGAGAGCCTGGGGGTAATTCTGAGGAGACCCAAGCTTGTTGAAAGGGGCTTCTGAGGAGAGCTGAGGTCGGGGCTTGCCCCTGGACTCCTACCAGTGGGGAGGAGGGAGATACTGTCATTCCCCCAGACCCTTTGCTTGTCTTCTTTCCCCTTTACAGCTGAAAACTACTGTCAGTAGCAGTTCACTTGGGACTGCGAAACCCTCCTCCCTCCTATAGATTTTCTGACCTCTCCCCTGTACACCAGCCCTGTGGTGTGCACGTTGCTCTCCCTTCCCCCACTGCCCAGCGGAGAGCTTCGTGAACTAGCTTGCGGCCTCCCCTGTGGAGTGGAAATAGGTCATGCTTAGTGGTGTTTTCTAAGTTCAGCTCAAAGCGTCTGGAGTTTGAATTGCCTCCTTTGCTTGTGTTTTAGTGTCCCAGGACAGCCCTACTTGGATGAGCCTTACCGAAATGTCTGCTTTCAAACTTTCTTAACTATTTTAGAGTCTTCCAAAGTTTCTGGTATGGACGATATCACATTTTGCATGGTAGGTAGGAACCTAGCATTCTACAATACCTCACTTATAATGTAAGTTACTGTTGTATGTGAAACATGTAGCTGCAGAATGCAAGAAGGAGTCCACTTGGCTTGTTTAAGGTGCTGCTATACGTGAGTTAAAGTTACAACATTAAAAAGTCTAAATTGTGTAATTTTAGCTTGAAAAATTATGGGAGAACTTGGTCTGCTCAGCATCACCTGGGACTGTCTTTCTGGATGGAAGTTTCCTGAATAACAGACGTTAATGTTTAATGCTGGAATCATGCTACTGTCTACCTAGTTGTCAGTGTTTGCTTTCTAAACACACACACACACACACACACACACACACTCACTCACTCACACACTCTTACACGCGCACATTTACACACTCACATTGACATGCTTACACATATACACCAATAAACCCATGACACATATTTACACACATATACACACCTATACACATAACACACACACTTACAGTACACACACATGCATGTGCGCACACACACACACTTACACATGCACACTTACACACTCACACATTGACATGCTCACACGTATACACCAATAAACTCGTGATACACATTTGCACACACACACCTATACACATAATACACACACACTTACAGTACACACACATGCACATGCGCGAGCACGCGCGTGCACACACACACACACACACACACACACACACACACACACACACGATATTGTATGCCTCTGATGTCGAGAGCCCCTAATGAAGCCAGCATGCCGAGTTCTTCCCCCCGGCTCTCTGGGAGAGGGTCTGCTGCTTTTCGCCTCTGTCCCTGCCATGCTCAGAGCTGTTGCTGGCACAAACGTACCCTCTTTTCTAGCTCATCCAGCAGTCGCCTCTTTGGACTCCTTTCTTCTCAGCTTTTACAAAGAAGGTTGGCCATTTAGAGAGAGCACCAACCCAGGCTCCTTTCCTTCTGCTTGGTGAATCCAGTTCAGTAAGCATTTACTAACTGCCTAGCCAATCACAGTATGTTGCATGCATCTTAATAATGCTTTATATTCATTTAACACTTCAGAGTTTACATAGTGTTTTCACAGACATTTATCTCATTTGATCCTCAGAACAACCTAATTAGGTAAGAAGGACAAGTGGTATTGTTCCCATTTTAGAGAAAAGGAGACTGAGGGTCAGAGGAATTTGGCGCACTGCCCAAGAACACATGCCTAGTTAGGGGTCCACCCAGGGCTAGAACCCAGACCGTGGCATTCTTAGTGCAGTACTCTCTGGACTTGGCACACTTCTCACCGTTTTTATCATTTCCAGGTCTGTGGTGGTCCTTGGCTGCTCTGGTGCTTCTGGCGGGAGATGTCTTTTTACAAACTCTCTCCTTTGGAATTTGGTGCAGTTGGGAATGCTTGAGGGTTCTGGAAGCCTGGGGTCCAGATGGCTTAAGGTTTGACTGTCCCTGTAACTTAGTGTCCTTTTCCCCCAGTTGCTACAAAATGCCCTGAAAGGTCTCCAGTCCCTTCTGAATGGGGGTAAGATGAAGCTCACCCAGACCGAGCAGCTTGGGTCTCTTCTGGCGGTATTAAAGGTGAGCGTGCATTACTTCCTTTTTCTCACGACTGGGATCTTTCCCATCTTAACTTGAAGTGGTCTTAAGAGCCTTTTGCCCATTGACAATCAACCACCCCACACAGAACAACGGACACATAAGGCAGAGGGACCTAGGGCTAATTTTAAGGACCTTTTGAAAGAGCAATTGGAGATGTTCAACTTCCTAGGAATGCCAAACCTGATGAGATACAATGTGTCTTTTAAAAAAAAAAATCTCTCAGATACATGTTTAGTGATTGTAACATTTTGGAGCTGGGGAAAGAAGAAGGTAGCAAATGCTTGATTTTAGAAAACTTGCTTCCCATCTTTATTTCATTAACAACAAAAAAGGTTTCCTCGTTCATGTATTTACATTTGAATTTTGTGATTTTTCTTTTTTCTTTTTAATATTTAGAAATATATGTTTCATGGGCTTCCTGGATTGAACATAGAAATGCCTGCAGTTTTATACCCAGCTCCTCTTCCTCAGTATGATGGGAGATCACCTATCAGACAGGAGCCAATGGAAATGAACCCCTCGAAACCAATAGCGGTATAATTACAGTTTGTTGGATTAGAATTTAGATTTATTTTGTAAAATATGTTGTCCAGAAACATTTTCTGTTGTTTTTATCATTCTTACCTGAGAAGACCTATCCTGAACAAGCAGTTTATTACTTGCTGTGGGTTTTTAGTATACTCAGTTTACACAGAAGAGTTTAGGTAGATCACTTGGGGGCTGAGCACTTCTAAGAGGTGTAGCGCATGTTACAGCTTTGCAGTACCACTATGCCCTTCTTCCCAAGTTGGACATCCTGACCCTGTGTATTTTCTTGAGAACACTGCCAAGAATGCAGCTCTCTGGCATTGTCTCCTGCCTCCACAGCACTGCCACGTTGCCCCTCCCCTCGTGAGCCCCCAAGTACCTCCTCTTTGCGGTCTAAGCCTGTCCTCGACTTCTGTCAAAACTGGAGCATAAGCCTGTGCCCCAGGCTGTGATTATTTACTGTTTGAAAAGCAATCTTGCTGAGACCTCAAACTTTCCACCTTGTTTAGGTAGTTATTTTATCACTCATCAGTCACTTCTACTGAGTGTCAGGACAGTTGGGAACACGGGTTTGGTTTTTTTGGGGGGGGATGTTGCATAGAAGTTGGTTTCTAGGACATAATAGGAGCTTCTAGAACAAGGAGACATGGGATCTAGGAGACGGGGATGAGTGAAGCGAGGCGGCAGAATTGGGGTGGAACGTACAGGAGCGTCAGGCTGTGAGTGATGCTCTGGTCTCCATTAGGAAGGCGCTCCTCACCAGGCTTTCAGTGTGGAGGAGGAAGACAGGGTGGGTTTAAGCTGGAGATGTATGACGTGTGCATTTGTTCTCTCATGTCAGAGTAAAAGGAAGAAGGCGAAGAGCAAACAGAAGAAAGGTCATCGAGAAGAGGAGTTGAAAGAACCAAATGGGGAGCTTGGAGCCGGTGCCGCCAGCGCCCTGGGCAAGCTGACCCTCCACGAAGGCAGCGCCCTGGGCTGTGCTTACTTGAGCACCCTGAGCGGGGCCCCCGAGGGGAGCAGCCCTGCCGCCCGAGACCGAGCCTCTTCCTATCTCAGCTCTCCCCCGTGGAAGAGGATCAGTAGCAGTGAGTCGGACTATTCGGACGCCGAGGGCGGCCTACAGAACAAGATGAGGTGGGCACCACGCGAAGTTAGCTCTGAAATGCCTGGTCTTGCGCTCGCTTGTTAATTAACGAGACGCCTTTGTGTAGTTGAGATAAAATCGCCATGTGAGCTTGGGGATCTTTTTAAAAGCAGAGTTCCTGAATGTGTCTCATGGGGTCTCCTTAGAAGCAGTTCAGTTTGGGTGAGGGCTCTTCTTGTGTGTTTTATGAAAGCCTCTTGTCTCCTTTTGTTCAAGATCTTACCAAGCCAAAGTTCGCCAAGGAGCTTTAGCTTGCTTCCTTTCCACGATAAAGTCAATAGAGAAGAAAGTTCTCTATGGCTACTGGTCTGCTTTTGTTCCGGATACGCCCGGCATAGGAAGCCCGCAGTCTGTGTCCTTGATGACAATTTCATTAAAAGATCCCTCTCCAAAGGTAAGAGAACTTTGTTATTAACCTCTTAAAATTTTATTCTTTTTTTTCCTCTGGCCCAATTTAGTTAATTTAAATATAGAACTCTCATTAATTGTAATGGGAGTGCTGAGCTGAGGATCGTTCTTCTGGCTCACAAGGAAATGGGAAGTGGGTTCACATGGATGGAGGGTAGTGCAGGAACTTGGTCTCTGGGACTTCAGAAGCACCCATCCTGCCAGGGGAAGAGGGGCAGTCACAGACTGAGCCTCTAGACTTGTAGTCATACAGCCTTTCCAAGTTAGGCCGAACACTAGCCAACATTTATAGTCCTTTAAGGTTGGCATAGAACTGGACAGACACAACCTCCTTTGTTCTTCACCACAACCCTGTGAGGTTAGTCCTATTTTTAATCATGTCTCATTTTAGAGGTGAGGAAACAGAGGCAGACAGAGGTTGAGTGATTCTTGCCAAGGGTCACACAGCTTGGAAGTGTCTAAGGTGGGATCTGAACCCAGGTTTTCCTGGTTCTACTCACTGTACCACCCTATCTTTCTGAAGCAGCACCATGCCCCCATTTCCTTCTCTTGACAGAGGCTCTGTAGGCTAAGACTAGCTGCCATAAAGGGAAGGCATTGACCATGACTCACCATGAGTGATGCAGTGCTGACCTCTGTTTGGATATGCTCGCTGCCTTGTGGAAAGCAGCTGTGTAGCCATAGGAAGGAAACAGCTTGTTTTACAGTGGTAATTTTACTAACTGGCAAATAAGCATTGGCCAGGCTTGGGGTGAAACAGCCTTGTCCTCGAGAAACTTAGATCCTAATCATCAGCTTATAAGCAGGTTACCCCCCCATTAATTGGGCTCATTTGAATTATGATTTGTCTCTGAAGATTTACTCTTTTGATTTGATGATATATTCAGGAGTAGAGACAGTGCAGTGCAGTAGATAGGGTGCTGGGCTTGGAGTCGTAAAGACCTAGGTTCAAATCCTTCCTCTGACTTTTAGCACCTGGGCCAACCTCAGGTTAGGGTTTAACCATATGTCATGGCAACCCCTTGGATTATGTGGCAAGACATTGAGATTACTATGCTGACAAAATCAGGATTCCCTCGTGTATTCACATACACCATTAGTATAATAGAGCAGCCTCCCTGTAAAACCATCCCTTCCTTGAGTGTCCATTGTTTCTAAAAGGAAATTCTGAGATAATTCATCAAAAGTCCTTCAAATGTGTGGAATAGAAGTTAAGCTAGACTGGGAAGCAGGGGATTGTAGCCATATAATTGTGCCTATATGTGACATTCCCTCCAGAAGTTTGTTTGGATCAAGTAACCTGGGTGGAAGATAGAAAACTGACATAGAAACAGATCTTAAATAGAAGCACCTCTATTAACTATAGAGGAGATAATATATTAATTATATATAGAACCATATCTAGGCATAGTCCAGAAGGTTGAAAAATAGAGGTGACTTGTTTTTTTTTAATCGACAAATGTGAATTAACTTGAAATTTCAGACTCGTGCCTGTGCTCTACAAGTGTTATCAGCCATCTTGGATGGTTCGAAGCAGTTTCTTTCTGTTGCTGAAGACACGAGTGACCATAGAAGAGCTTTCACTCCCTTCTCAGTGGCCATTGCTTCCAGCGTTTGTGAGTTGCATCGATGTCTTTTGTTAGCTTTGGTGGCTGAATCATCCTCTCAGACCCTTACTCAGATAATTAAGGTAAATGGAACTATGAGCCTTTACAAATTTTGCTATATCAAGATCATTTGACTTAAGAGTATTTTCAAATTATACAAGGAAAATTCAGAACCTGCAAATATAACTGAGTGGTGATTTTTATTAAGGCAATATGATTTACAAATGTGAATGCATCTTCTTACAATTTCATTTGCAGAACACTTTTTGTCCTGCTAGGGATATAAACTGGATCAATCAGATCTAAATAGTGTCCAGGTGAAGGATTGATTTCAAATATATAATCCTTCCAGTGTAAAGGATTTGGGTCCTTTCAACTTTTTGTTTCTGCATAGGTTTTATATAAATGAGTTTTTAAAAATATTTCTTAAATGCTTTATTGTCTGTTTATGATGCCTTAATTAAAACTGTTGGCTTGCATGTGAGGTGCCACTTTTTCATGTCTGTGCTTTGCAGTGCCTTGCAAACTTAGTATCAAATGCACCTTACAACCGTCTGAAACCCAACCTGCTGACCAAGGTCTGGAACCAGATAAAGCCGTACATCCGCCATAAAGGTTGGTAACCTGTTCAGCTCAGTCATGCTTTTGTAAGCAGTGTGATTAAATGAAAGGTTATTGATAACGTGTGCTCAAAGCCTTTTCCCGTCTATTGGCTCATCCCAGCCAGATGAGCTCAGAGCAGAAGGAGGGTACCACTTGTTCGAAGAGTGCCCCCTAGGGGATGATAGGGTTACAGAGTGAATTATTCCCAATCTTCAGCCCATGTGGGGAATCTCTTCCAGCCTTTGGGGAAAGGTGATGTCACTTTGGAACCTCCTGTCTTGCCCTGGCAATGTCACTGGGATAGGGAACTGTAGATTCCCCAGCTGCTTCAAGGCACTCTGTATGTCTTTGATACTGGCAAAAGAATCACGTTTCTATTCACAAACCACCCACAAGTAACTAATGGGTTTGTAATACGGTTGCTGGGCTTGTCTGGTATATAGTTATTCACATCTGTTAGATACCAGCCTAGGGTGGGTGGAGGGTAATGGGATTCTCATTTTAACGATAGAGAGACAAAGAATTACTTGGTCAGGGTTATAATCTGCACTGAAATTAAGACTAAAACCTTGTTATTCTGATCTCCACTTTCATACTTTAATAAAATTGTATGTATCATTTGAATCTCCATGTTTCCTATATAGTCTCCATAGAAACCATAAATATTCTCATAGGAACTGAAGTTTTCGCATCAGAGTAATTAAGTTGTGTCCTTCTTTGTAAACAAAGGACAGAGAGGGTTGGGCTGGAGCGTGCTTCCTCCGTCTCTGTTTTTATGATCACTGTTTGCGTGGTGCCCCTCTCTCCCTGTTTCCTTTCACAGATGTCAATGTCCGGGTCTCCAGTCTGACCCTCTTGGGGGCCATAGTGTCGGCTCAGGCTCCCTTGCCTGAAGTGCAGCTGCTTCTGCAGCAGCCTTGTTCTTCTGGGCTAAGCAGTAGTAGCGGTTCCACCATGTTGTGGCTCAGCCCTTCTGACTGGCGCAGAGATGCTTCCTATGCGGAAACTCTAGAGGAGTCTACGGATAGCTTGGCAGGCTCCAGTGGTGAGCCCTGCTGGCTCATCCGTCTGTGCATCTCCACTGTTGTACTGCCGAGGGAAGATCCCTGTTCTGATAGCGATACTAGCTGTACCATCGGCAACATATATGAACCATCTCCTGTTCGATTGGAAGCCTTACAGGTGAGAGAATCTAATGCTTATATTTACACAGAGAACTAGTCATTTAAATGGGTTGATCAGAGTCCTTCCTTCCTGTTGGAATTCACGGGCACACAGAGTGTCAGAGTCTGAAGGCATCTCCCTCTTGAGCCATCTAGTACATCCCATACCTTAAAGGAATCTCCATCATGACATACTTGTCAGGGAACTGTCAGACTGTGCTTGGAGACCTCCAAAGAGGGAGAGCCCACCATCTCCCAAGGCAGACCGCTCCCCTTTTGTTAGGAAATTTTTCTTAATACCAACCGAAATTTGCCTGTTTGTGACTTCTACCCATTTTTTTCTGATGATACCCTCTGGGGCCAAACAGTATAAGTTTAATCTCTTCTTAACACGATAGTGCTTCAAATACTTGAAAACACTTATCCCGTTCCACCTGAATCTTCTCTCCTCCAGACTAAATGTGCCCAGTGCCTTCAGTTCATCCGCATTGGTCATGGGCTCAGGGCCCATCAGCTTCCTGGGTGCTCTCTCTTTAACGTTCCAAGGCCTTCATAAACCATGGGTCCACAACTGAATGAACATCACACGTGGTGGGGGAGGGCTGACGATTTGAGAATACAGTGGGCCTCTCACCTTCCCGTTCTCATTATCTTAATTCAGTCCAAGATCTCATTGGCTTTTTGGATGCCGTATCCTCCTGCTGAGGCCCCTGAAACCCTCACATCTGTCTCAGGATGACTGCTCTGTCCGTGTCTCTGCCATCTTTGTACCCACCTTCAAGACTTTACATTTATCCCATGAAATTTCATCTTATTCAGTTCAGCCCAGTGCTCTAGGTTGCCAAGATCTTTTTGGATCCCGCTCTGCCATCCCGGGACTCGGGGATCCCTCCTACCTTGGTGTCATCTGCAAATTGGATGAGTCTGCCGTCTCTGCCTTCATCCAGGTCTTTGATGCGCATGTTAAAGCAGCGTCCAGGCCAAGCACAGTTCCCTGGGGTGTTGCCCTGGAGAGACTTCCTGCCACCATGACATGGAAGCTTTAGTCACCAGTGCTGAAGCCATCTGATTGTATTATCACTCAATCCATGCTTCTCCATCTTCACAAGAATAGTATGAAACAGTTATCTAAAGCTTTGCTAAAATTTAGGTAAACTATATCCATTGCATTCCTCTCATCTACTAGTATAGATGTCCAGTCACAAAAGGAAATGAGAGGAGCAGATGAGCTAATATTTGTAAAGTGCTTAGGCCAGTTCCTGGCACATAGCAGATGCTTAATAAATACTTATTCCCTTCCCCTCCCCTCGTCTGGCATGGCCTGTTCTTGATGAAGCTGTGCAGTCTCTGTAATTACCACTTCCCCCTGCAAGTGTTCCTCAGCCATCTCTTTGATGAACTAAGATGAGTTCTGAAGTCAGGCTCACTGACCCAGAGTGTACACATTCTGCTCCTTTCTCTTTTTTGAAAATCAGGGCAACATTTGCCCTTCGCCAGCCCTGAGGTACCTCTGCCTTGTCCAGGGTCTTTCAGGTATTGCTGACAGTGGCTCCGCCGTCACATCAGGCCCCAAGGATGAGGTTCATCTGAGGTGGGCAGCTCAAGTGCAGCAGAACCGCTCAGAACTCTTTCTATTTCCTTGTTTATCCGGGGGGGGTGGGGGGGTGGGGGGGTGGAGATTAGCTCACTGGAAGTCCTGTTTGTTCTGTCATTTCCAGCATTGAGGTCATTCTCTTCTAAGATCTCAGAGCCACTGGAGCATTTAAGGATTTACAAATAAAATTGCTATCTTGGTGTTGGTAGGAGATAAGGTGGTTGGAAAAAGAGGTACTTTGACTGACTTCTTTCTTGCTGGTGGCAGTGTTAATTGGTGCAGAGCAATCTGGCAGGACACAGATAACACTTATAAAACGCATCATCTCCTACAGCTCAGTAGTCCCATCTGGGGGATATGTGCCAAGGAAGTAGTTTTTTTTAAAAGGCCTATTTATACAAATACTTTTAATTCTTTTTTTTTTTTTAAATTTTTAGGCAATTGGGGTTAAGTGACTTGCTCAGGGTCACACAGCTAGTAAGTGTCAAGTGTTTGGTCTGAGGCTGGATTTGAACTCAGGTCCTCCTGACTTCAGGGCTGGTGCTTTATCTACTGTGCCACCTAGCTGCCCCGATACACATACCTTTAACTATATCATATAGCATGGTGGAATTTCTAACTGGAAGAGATCTTAGAGACAATTGAGGCCAACTTAATTATATAGATCCATTTGAGGCTCCTAGTAGTTCGTTAGTTGGATGTTCGAGATCTCAGGGCTAGTGGTGGATTGTAAGTAGAAAAGCTGGGTTTTAACTTGGATCCATTGACGATAGTATGTAATCAAGATAGGTGTCACAGGAGAGTCAAGTCAGCATTTATTAAGCACCTACTGTGTATTAGGCAGTAAGCACTGGGAATGCAAAGGAAGGTAAAAAACAGTCCTTACCTTCAAGGAACTGACAGTCTAATGGAAGAGATGTAGGAGAAGAAGCAAACAACTACATACAAGATAAATTAGGGATGATTGAGAGTAGGCATTAATGGCATCCTAGCTGGGGTACAGCGATGTAGTGTTTTAGCTGAAATTTGTAAGGATTTACAGCTAGGTGGTGCAGTGGATAGAGCGATAGGCCTATAGTCAGGAAGACCCATCTTTCTGAGTTCAAATCTGGCCTCGGATACTAGCTGTGTGACTCTAGGCAAGTTACTTCAGCCTGTTTGCCTTAGTTTCCTCATCTGTAAAATGAGCTGGAGATGGAAATGGCAACCCCAAATGGGGTCGTGAAAAGTTGAATATAACTGAAACAACTAAACAACATGAAATAACTCTGAAGTTAAAAAAGAAAAATCAACATATGTGTCTTTCACAGACATTTCATAGGGTTCAAGAACTGGACTCAGAATTTAATAGGTGGGAAGGAGACTAGATTCTGTTTAAAAAAAGGCCCCAGTGTGCTATCAGTAACCCTCAAATGTCTCCATGAAACAAAGCTCGATCGTTTATAACAGTATTCTTCTAGTGATGTGCTATAGCTGTGAATCATCCCCCAAAAGGCAATGAAGAGGAATATGGTGAGTGAAAATAGGCAGCAACCTTACCAACAATGATTCACATAAAAATACCATCCAAAAATGTGTGACTGGTCATTTACCAAGAGTGAAGGATAACAACACGTGGACGGTCTACCTGAGGGAAGGCCCTCACCATGGCAGGGAGACCCTCCGTGGAGATCCAGGGGGCCATGGACAGGAGCTCCACTGGGGAGGAGCCCCCCTCACATTACAAGGCACAGTCCCATTCACATTTTGTGGAGTGTGTTTTTCTTAGGCTTTTAAACATTATTCTGTAGAGCTGGCTGGTTCTTCCCTGCACTAAGTTCAAATTACGGTGGTTGGCTAGTCCGTGCCTGTGTGTGTGTTTCTTCGCTGTAGGTGCTGGCCCTTCTGGTGAAAGGCTATTTTGTAATGGCCCAGGGCTATTTGATGGAGCTTGGTGAGGTGGCCTGCAGGTGCATGGAGGAAACAGACCCATCCATTCAGCTTCATGGCGCAAAAGTAATGTTTTCTCATTGTTTTTTATTTCCCCCGTTTATTCCATATCCTACATACCCCATCAGTTTTATAATTTCTTAAGGTAGTTGTGACAGAGAACATGTGTATTGGTGACATCGAGGCAGGGAAATTAATAAATGCCTGTGGTCCATCTCCTTTACGCCTCGTGGGCCACATATTGACTTAGAAAATCACAGAGGAACGTCATTATGTTTTCTGGCATTTTTCTTTATTTCGTTAAATATTTCCCAATTACATTTCAATCCGACTTAGGCTATACTTGGAGTGTAGCTAGCAGGCCATGTATTTGACCCCTCTAGTGTACAGTTTTATGTGTCTATTCAGAGAGCACCGATTGCATCGATGGAGGCTTGTGACTGACTGATGGTTAGATTTCTTGAGTTCATGAGCCCTCTGTGTTGAAACTTGAACTCCTTACAAAAGAATGGAAATCAGTAGAGAATTCCTGTTTGTTGGGTTTGATGTGACCTTGAGCTTGAAGACAGCCACGTATATGATGACCGTAATTCTAATGGTCTCCTTTGCTAATCCATTTCTTTTTTTTTTTCCTTGGCAGCTTCTAGAAGAGCTAGGGACAGGTTTAATCCAGCAATATAAAGCAGACTCGACCGTCGCCCCCAATCAGAGAGTCCCGGTCAGTTTGGTAAGTGAATGGCTATTCATCTGGGCTTTAGCATTTCTTTGTATTTCAGCCTTGACTCTTAATTGTTTTTGTCTTGTAGCACTCAGCAGTGTGTCTGGCACAGATTCATAAATGCTCGTAGGTAGATTAATTAGCATTAATTGGACTATGTTGTATCTACAAATGCTGTCAAGTCTGACCTGTTGCCAAATATGTCATGTAGCAGCCACGAGGGGACTGGGTGTGCTCTCTGTACCTCCATACCAGAATGTGGCCAGGCTCAAGGCTCAGAATTTTCAAGAATAAGTCGGCCACCAGCATTCATGGAGCCCCTGCTGCTCGATATCAGCCACTCTGTTTGGTAGGGAGGGATGCAAAGGCAAAATTAAAACAGTCCCTACCCTCAGGGAGCTTCTGTTTTATTTAGGAAGTAAAGACCGGGCTCTTCTTTCCTGGGTTGCGTCTTGATCAGTTTTTCTTTTGTAGGTGGTGATGTTTTGGGCTATGATGTTGAACGGCCCTTTGCCCCGAGCGCTTCAGAACTCACAGCATCCGACTCTCCAGGCCAGTTCCTGCGATGCCCTCTCTTCCATCCTACCAGAAGCTTTCAGTAGCTTGCCGGTAAATGGCTCTTTTTCAGCCTCGTCAGTGAGGCTCTTATGTTAAAAGCATCAGATATAGCCGTCTCTAATTGGATTGTGAACAGCCTTTACAAGTCAGTGTTTGAGATAATCTCTGGGGGAAGACAGCAGGCTCATGTTTCTGAGTTTAAAAAAAAGAACAGAAAAAATAGAAGGCAGGTCTTCTCTGTGTTAGTAGTTGAAATTGAAGTCCAGCCTTGCTTGCCCTTCGGTCTCCTGGGGCATTTGCGACTATTCCTCGTGCTCTCTAAGCTGGCTGTTAGAAGGTGACCGGGAATGAAGTAGAAGCATCACGAATGGGAGCATCACCCTGTGTCAGGGCCCTTCTTGGCACCACAGGTCAGCTTTGCTGAGCTTACAATGTGGAGGTTAGTTTTTACCATGACTCGTTGAGGCAGGACTGTGTGTTAAGTCACTGGAGCCGTGTGGGCCTCTGTTTCCCCCTCTCTAGAACGAGAGTTCTCAGAGCTCCTTTCCAGCCCGAAGGCCTTTGATATGGTGACGTGTTCGGCTCCTGCTCCCTGACTGCCTAGCATGGGATACTGCGTGCCCAGTAGCTCATTAACACATGTTTGGGGGGGGGAGTAAATGGAGCTTCTTTGTGAACCTGCACCTTTCTGTTACCGTTGGTGATGACAGAATGACAGACAGATCTTGTGCATCACTCTGCTGCTGGGACTAAATCACAGCAAGAATCCTCTGGTGAAGGCGGCCGCTGTCCGCGCCCTGGGCGTCTATGTGCTCTTCTCCTGTCTCAGGCAGGTAAGTACATGCCAGATGCCTCTGCTCTGTGAGACCTTCAGAGAGAGTCGGCACCAGCAATGTCATTGTTGGAGAGGGACGTACCCTTCCTTCCCCCGCCCATTAGCTCCCTAAGGATGATCCCCTGCCAAGAGACAGGGAAGGCACATGTGAGCCGAGGTGAAGGCTGCGTTCTGCACAGCTCAGGAAGGCCTGAGTGCTCCCACCTTTTTCATATCAAGGTCAATTGTGGTTTTTGCCTTTTTGATATGTGCTTGTATTTTTGGGAACCAGACCTGTTATTTTATCAATGTAGAGAGGACCCAGTGAGGTAAAACCTCTGTACCACTATAGGCTGGCACCACGTCTGCAGCTTAGAGTCTGGGAGTTGCTGGGGGCATGGGGTGGTCAGATGATTTGCCAAGGGTAATGTATAGACTTTTAAAGATTTCCCAGATATGTTGATGTAAATGTAGATGTATAGAGATCCCTTTTTCTAATTAACATGTCTATAATTACTTCATTTGTACTTTTCTATTACCATTAGTAATTGTAGGTTGACAGATCCTGTGTATTACTTGGTTGTTTGGACTGAATTTTTAAAATTATGTGTGCGTGTGCGCGAGTGCGTATATGCACATATATATATATATATATATATATATATATATATATATATATATATATGTATGTATATCTCCACATACCCCCAGGTGCTTGTTTATCAGGAGCATGGGCAATAAAATAAAGGAACTTAGTCTCGCAAGGGCCCTGTGGTAGATAAGCATGATTAAATGCTTTGGGGTAGTGCATAAGACAGATTTTGAAAGGGAGATCTGACTTGGCTATGACCCTGGGAAGGATGATGGGGCCTGATCAGCTAAAACCTCTTAGAAGAAAGGTAGGTCTGGGGCAGAGCTTTATAACAGAGACTTGGTGTTTTTCACAAGCTAAAGGGAAAACAGGGCCTGAGGAAGGTCTAATTACAGGGCACAGGCTGGGACCTAGAGGGAGATGAGAGAGGCCACAGGGCAAACTAAAGAGGACCTGAGGGAAGAGCAGTGGTCTTCAGACATTTCCAAACCTAGTGTTGATTCCTAGAGTGCACTTTCTGATCACACTAGATTAACCAGGAGCTTTCAAAGAAGAGGATAAAAACACAAGGTATATCATGTCCGTTGCTAAGCTGCCTGCCGAGGCCCTTGTCTTTTGTATCTTGATGTCTACCTAATCATGATGTTGAAGGTATTTTATGATACCTGTTCATTACTATTCAGCAGTTGAGCTTTCAATCTTTTTTGTTTCCTTAGTTCCCTCATGCCCATCTGAGATATACCCTTCACTCCTTCCCCAGTGCTCCCACAGTCCTTCCTGAGCCTTGTTCTCACACTGCTTTCTTTATCTTTGCCTTGTCCTGATGTATGTTTGTGGAAGACATGAGGCAGTAGAGTCTTTCACTGCTCTTATGTAAGCTGTCCTCCCCAGCTAGCCAGCCACCCTCCACTGCTAGCCAGCCACCCTCCACTGCTCCCCAGTGGGGAACAAGTATGCATCTTTAGCACAAAGACCACGATTAAGCAAGGTGTTTAACCTGTGTGAGCTTCATTTCTTCCTTTGTGAAATCTGAGAGTTGGATAAGATCTCTAAAGAACCTTCTGCTTTTGAAGTCTTAAGGGTAGCTGTTAAATACTGTCTGTTCATGGCACATAGAATAATTGACAAGTAGTCACAGAGAAGTAATATTGTTGAAAGCAGCTGCTTGGCATAATGCTTTTCCACAGCAGATAGTTCAAAAGTTAAATAAAAACTAATTTAACAAATCCTATTAATAGTTGGTATTACTAGCATAGTTTAAGGTCAGCCATCTTCTAGTCTTGAGGCTCATGACCTTGTTTGTGTCATGGACCCCCCTTCTCAGAGTAAGGTGAAGTGCATAAAGCAAAATACTTAAGATCACAAAAGAAACCAATTAGATAGAAATGCAACCAGCAGAATATTAATAAAACTAGTTAAGAATCCATGGTCTGTCTAATCTGTCATTTTAAGATAATTTTAAAAGATCATGTTCTCTAATTAAATATAATATGTCACAGAAAGGCCAAGGGGGAGATTAGGAAAGGTAAAAGACCCTCCTCATTCAGAAGGAAAGCATTCTGGTGATCCCTAGAAATATACTGACCTGTATTTGTTATGTCCTGTACCTGTAGATAAAGAAAAGCCCACAGTATGGAAACTACCAAATGTTATTAGGAGTTAACTATGGCCTTGGGAGCTTATGGCACTGGTGGGAGGGGAAGGTCCGCAGCAAATAATGGGAACACCAAGGGAGAACTTTCTCTGAATTGGACCTTGATATTTTTGTTGAGTGACTAGTTCACCTTAATATACAAATAAATTCCCAAACACAAACTTTTCATGTTTGTGATTTGTGACCGAAACTCAAAACTTTGAAAACCTCAGAGATGTCACTTGGAACTCCTGAAGTAACTTCATTGTTCTTTTCTTGTAGGATGTCATGTTTGTTGCAGACACAGCAAATGCGATCTTGATGTCTCTGCATGACAAGTCTCCAAATGTCCGTGCCAAAGCAGCCTGGTCCTTGGGTAACCTGACAGACACTTTGATTGTCAACATGTAAGTAGGTAGCGCCTTTTTCCAGGCCATGAGGTCTGAGGCTACAGCTCTGGTGAAGGATGAGTTGTTGCAGTCACTGTGACTGGATGCAGATCTTTTCACTTGGCTTCATGTGGTTTCTTATTATTATAAGAACAACCCACTGAGCTGTGCTCTTTGTAGCTTTTATAGCTGTATTAAGTGAATGAGAGTGTAATGTTATGTGTGTCTATTAAAATGAGTTTCACCTTTTGGACATTTTATCTGCTTTGGTTTGAACAGGGAAATGTTGGGCCAGAGTTTCCAAGAAGAATTTTCCAGTCTCTTGCTATTAAAAATGTTGAGATCGGCAACAGAAGCTTCCAAGGATAAAGACAAGGTAGTAAAGTCTTTCCTGGGATTGTTTGATGTAAGCTGCCTTTAATTAGAGGCTTGAGCACTTTTAAATGGCAGTGGGAGGAAAAAGTCAGAGCTCTGATGACTCCTTAGCTCATTCTTTTCTTTGAACCAAGAGAGTTGGTATTGTGGAAAGAGCCCAGAATAGGCAGAGTCCAGGGGACCTGGGACATTCAGCTGCCTTTAAGGAAAGAATCCTCTATCCTTCATCAGGTCCAAGTCCCAGGTCTTCCACCATTTTGCTGGATAACCTAGGGCAAACCATTTTCCTTCTCTGAGCCCCAATTTTCTTGTGACTTCTAAGATCCCTTTTCAGCTTTTAACATTTCATGATTCTTCCAAATGGGACAGGTGAACTTTTTAATAATGTTCAAACACAACCTTATTTTTGGGATCGGTACAGTGATTGGAATCACATGTTCACCATAAAGAATTCCAGAACTGTGCGATACCCAAATTCCTCCCATTCGCATTCTTGTCCTGTTCCACAAGATTACGGGACCTAGGAAATTATTTAAAGTTAAAAAGCCTTCAAGATTGTCCATGAGGCAGAATTATTTCTAATCCTTTTTTTTTTTCAACCAGGTAAAAAGTAATGCCGTTCGGGCCCTTGGAAATTTGCTCCACTTCCTGCAGCCATATCATGTAATAAAACCCAGATTTACAGAGACCATTGAGGAATCCATTCAGGCCCTTATCTCTACTGTTCTGAGTGAGGCCACCATGAAAGTCCGATGGAATGCATGTTATGCCCTAGGAAATGTATTTAAAAATTCTGCTTTGCCTCTGGGTGAGTAAAAACTTCTTTTGTTTTGCTTTTGCTTTCTTTTTTATTTCTGCAAAATTCTGACCTGCAAATAAAATATTGGGACTAGGCTTTTGGTACAAAAGTGATAAAGGAGATTCTGCTTGGAAAGAAGAAATACAGTGGGTGGGTGGCTTCTTTTTAGATTATAGCTTGTAATCATATTTACCAGTGCCAGCCTGTAGCTCATAGCCATTTCCAAAATCCATTTTTCCTTCGTGTTATTTTTTTCTTGCCCCACATTTCGACTTTAAGGGCCAGGTTGTAAAAAAGCCTAGTGTTCCACCTGATGGCGTTCTTGAATTTACCCGTTTCTTGCTATAGAGCAAACTCCAGACTGTAGGCTTCTGGTCAGCCAAGAGCCGGGCAGGTCAGGTCAGAGGAAACTTATCATCAAGTGACTTGTGTGCAGAAAGATTCAGTTGTGGAGCCATAGATAGAATTGAAAGGGGTTTCTAAGAGATCGTGGACTCTACCCTCTTGTTTTATAGAGGAGAAAACAAAGGCAGTGAGTGGTAGAGCTGATGGACTCAAAGTCCAGTGCTTTTTGCACTAGGGTAGCCTGCTACTGTGGAAAGTAGTATTGTTACCCTACTGAAGACCCAAAAAGCACATTTAGGTTTTTCCTCAGCTGAGGAGTTGATTCTTTCTGCTTACTCTGTAATAGAAAACCTCTCAGTAGTGTGGGGCTAACTTAGTTGGGGTAGCCATGTGTTGCTTCCCAATCTCTTCTCAAACTACCTGTTTGTTTTCATGACTGTTTCTAGGAACAGCACCTTGGACGGCACAAGCTTATGGTGCTCTCACATCGGTTGTGAAATTCTGCAAGAATTTCAAAGTACGAATCAAATCTGCAACTGCTCTTTCCATTCCGGACAAGAGGGAGCAGTATGGGTCTGTGGAACAGTATGCTCAGATCTGGAATGCGCTGGTGACCGCCTTACAGAAGAGTGAGGACACCACAGACTTTCTGGAATTCAAATACTGTGCCAGCCTAAGAGCACAAATCTGCCAGGCACTGATTCACTTGTTAAACCTAGCCAGCGGTTCAGATCTGAGGTGCATTCAAGAAACTGTGGAGCAGAGTGGTGATATGGTCAGGCTCTACATCTTACAGTATTTGAAGTCAGGAGTGGAGGGAGATGACACAGGCTCACCCCAGAGCCCCCAGGAACGAGACAAAATGCTATCAGAGGCCCTGGGGCATATAAAGGGGGTTCAGGAACCCTCAGGTGATACAGCTAAGAAGGTCATCGTTGCTTATTTGGAAGGCATCCTGACCATGTATACCAGTGAGACTGAATCTTGTGTCTCTTTGCTGTAAGGCAGACCAAATACCAAGTACGGATAGAACAAGGAAGAGATGGGAAATGTGCCAAGAGGGTAAATTTAGAAGCCAAGCAAGCTGTCCTAGAGAAAGGGGCCTTCTCTGGCAGTGTGCTCAATGGCGTCTTGGGAGCAGAAGCAAAAAGAACTTAAAACTCATGCCTCCTTGGGGAATGTGGTAATAACTTTTCAGTCATCCTCCTATTGCAAAGTGCCCTGGCTATCGGTGTACACACTGAGCTACCATGCTGGCCAGGCCAGCCCCCTCTAACCGGGGGCCCGCCAGAGGGCAAGGTACAAAAGGGAGAAAGTGTGTCCAGAGCAGGGCCAGCCGGAATGGAAGAGCCGCCGAGGGGCCTGTTATGCAGTGCCCCACCCCTCTCTGGGAGCCACCCTCTGGCCCAGTGAGGCCTTAACTCACCAGGGACTTTTAAGTCTGTTGCTATGACTCCTGGCTAAGCTAATCTGCTACTTTATGACTGTTTTTAAGTGAGGCTCCGTTTACAAATAGCCCCCTGCCTCTTCCACCCCTTTTAATTAGCTCCTATTCAAACCAAAAATTTCACAAGCTAGAAATAGTTTCTTCTTGATAGTCATTATACACATGTAAAATATTTTCTCTGCCAACAGCACTGTGCCCACTAATGTTTTTCCCAGAGTTCGATTATATCTTTGCCTTGGTGACATGTATACTAGTACTTTGCACTTTTGAAAGAAACCCAAATAGAAAGCTAAATAAATGTATTCTTTTAAATTCCGTTCCCAACATAGTTTATCCTCTGTCAGACCGAGTTGAGGGCCTCTTACTTAACACGGCCCTAGACAGTTTACCCTCGATAACTCGGTTGTCCCAATGACTGCTTTATTCGTGTGCCTTCTGTGCATTGAGTGGAGGCTTTCCAGTGAAGTGTCTCACGAACCTCTGAGCTCTAAAACGAGTAGGGATAATTTAGGGGCTTCCTCAGTGAACTACAAAACCTTGGACTGTTAGAGAATTATAACGGAGAGGAAGGGCTTTACACACTTGGCTCCCTGGCTTTTTGTGTAGGATAAGTGTGGGGGTCACAGCTTCCTACCATTGTCCAGACTCGAGAGTACCACAGGTCTCTCACCTCAGCTACCGGTGAAGGAACCTCTTAACCCTGCAGAAGATAAACTGGCCAGTCCGTTGGCCTTCACATGCTAGCTTCGCAGGTGATTGGCCGCCTCATTTGATGCAGACGTGTTATATGTTACGTATGTCAGGTTGGCATTTCTTAGAGGCATTAGCAGATCTCACCACACACAGAGTCGGGATTGGGGTTGGGCATTTGTCGACTTCTTGAGTTTGTCCTCGCTTGTCCGACAGCAGTGATTTAAGCATCGACGGGCATAGAGATTTTGTGCAGCAAATAACAATCTTCTACCTTTTATCTGGGTGTGTAATAGGTAAGAAATAAGGTTTTGTAATAACAGCAATAACACGCTCTTGTTGAAAACTAAAACACTGTACCTGAAATAGCCCCTGCACCTTCCTCATTCTCTTGTTAATCCTCTGTCCATTTGAGTGACATTAAATGGGGGTTTTAGTAAGAAATGTGTGACTATATTTGTTTTAAATGTTTTTTACATCATTATTAAAACACTTCTCTAAAGGCAGTTGGATTTGGATTTTTCTTTTAAATTTTCCACTAAATTGTTTTTCAGCTTTATAGCTCTTTGTTTCTCCAGAATGCTGTTGGGTACGTACACAGAAAGGCTGTCTAACTTTGTACAATTACTCAGAATCCTTAGGGAAGAGGGATTAACTGAATCCCTTTTCTTACAACAGGTAGGAGTCTCATCCAATTTTCAAATTCTGTAATTTCATACTGTGTGTGAGACTTTTGCTATTGACATTTTGTTGTTTTTAACAATTTTTTAAAAAATTTTGAGTTCCAAATTCTGTCTCCTCCAGCACCTCCCCCACCCATTGAGAAGACAAGTTTGCTAAGCATACGAAGTCAGGCAAAACATTTCTGTGTAAATGTTTCTATGGAAAATGAGGGATCCATAGCCCTCGATTTCCAGCTGTGGTCAGCTGATTCTATGATTTATTTAGTCCAACTCCCTGATTTTACAAAGAAAGAAATAGACCCAGAGACAGAGAAGTGACCTGAATAAATCTTTCATGAACCGATAAGGTGGTTCTGTTTTTGCTGTCAGATACACAATCTAAGACCCATAAGCTGGGAAGAGCATCTGCCCTTCCAGTCTTATTTTCTGTTCCACAGTTTCGGCCCTTGCTGGACTCATAGAATGTCCAAGTTAGAAGGGACCCTTTGGGATCCTTTAGACTAACCCCCTCATTCTGTGGAGGAGGAAACCAAAACCCAGAGGAGAGGCAGTAACTTACCAAAGGCCGCCTCTCAGGTTAGCATCAAAACCTGGGCCAGGGCCTGGTTCTCCTGATTCTCAGGCCGGGGCTCCTTCTGCTCCATCACCCTTTCCTCATCTCACCTTCTTGGGCCCTTGTTATCTGGAATATTCATGGCAATAACCTTGTTTAGAAAGATGCCATTAGGTAATGCTGTGACTAAAAGGGCTCCCTGTGGGGGCTTTTGGCCTGGGGTGCTAAAATTTAGGGAGCAGCTGACTCTAGAGTTTAGAATGAGTGAATGAATGAGACTTTTATGAAGCAGTTACCATGTACCAAAGAGTGTGTTAAGTACTGAAGATACAATAAAAAAATTTGAGATAGGAGCTTACATTCTTAATGGGAGACACAACCCTTTAAGAGAGGCCCCAGATGCTTAGGCCTAAGGTCCTTAGTATGTTTGACAGGTTGAGATAGCCGTGCCCTAGAGTCTGGTGTGTGCAGAAGCTGGAAAATGGCGAGTATTGGTGGTCCTCCATCTTACTGGGATTATTGTCATTGTGACTCCCCGCTCATCCAATCAGTTTGGGTGACTATGCTTCTCATCTGGTCCAGCCTTCCCCAAATGGGGTCTGGGAGGCCCCAGGATTGGGGAGGAAGGCAGAAGAGAAGGAAAGAGGAAGGGACAGCCCCTTCCCCCCCCCATCCAATGGCATCTCTTCTTACTCCACCCTGGATGAGATCTGGAGGGCGGTTTTGGGTTGAGGGGAGAAAAGGGAAGAGTTCCCTTCTTGGCAGCTACCCCAGTGGAGTCTGGGAAACTGATAAACAATTGAGATTAGTACTCAGTAAGCATAGCTAACCAAAATATGAACCTACCTGTCAGTGTATAATGGCATATCAGGGAGCTCTTCCCTAGCCTGACCCCAGCCCAGGGGATGAGTTCACAGCATTCTGGCAGCTCCATCTCTCCACATGAGGCCTTGTGTCACACTGTGTGTTCTCTGCACCCACCCCCCCCCAAATTTGTTCATTCCTGCAGTTCACCCCAGGTACGTTATGAAAAGCTTGCCTGAGGGGTCAAAACTGCTAGTTACAGCTCTGCCATGATGCAAATCAGGTAGCAGAGAAGGGAGAAAGTCCTCTGGGCATAAAAGTCAGGAAGAAAAGATCTTCCATTCCCTGAATGTGCCACCCACAGAGCTGGGCAGATGCTGGCAGCTTCCACCAGGTGTGGTAGGTGGGGAGAAAGTTCAATGGTCAGAAGAAATGTTGGCTTTGCCCCACCCAGAGGGAAGTTATATTGTCCAGACTCTTTTACTGTTTTATTTGCAGACCGGGCTTTGGAGAGCTTTTTCTGTGGATTGTTTGGGTAGAGGACAATTACCATACCCTGTAACATGATTGATTTACAGCCAAAGAAATGAGGAGGGGCGTCGGAGCCCAACTTGGCTCTTTGAAAGCTGATTCATGCATTGGGGCTCAGGGCTTCATTTCTGACAGATGGGCAAGGCCTTTGCTTCAAGCTGGGTGCAGACGGCCTACATCTTTGGCTAAGGAGAGGGGGAGGGGAACAATCAATTATGACTCCAGACCGTCTGCATCTGCATTTGTGCCCCTGCACTGTCTGCACCTGCGGCTCAGAGGGTCCATTGGAATGGAGCTGCCCTAGCTATTACTATTACTATCCTCATTTTACAGATAAGGTAGGCAATCAGGGTCACACTGCTAGGAAGTCCCAGAGACTGGTTTCAGTCTCTGGTCTTTAGGCCTTTAAGTCCCACACTAGGTACTGTCCACCCAAACCAGATATTTTCCTGCCAATCACGTTTTAGCATCCTACTCTGCCACCGACTGTTGGCATCTCAGTAAAATCAGTGTGTGGAGATCTGCAGAAGTCTGCTAATAAGAGGCTGTGTGGTGCAGTGGGGCAAAAAAAACCAACATGAGATTTAGAGTTAGAAGACCTGAGTTCAAATCCTTATGCTACAATTTAATACAAACTTTGTGGCATAGAGTTAGAGCTGGAAAGGGCTCTCCATTTTATAGATGGGAAAATTAATGCCCAGGATTTCCCTGAAATCACTGAGAGAGTGACAGAGGTGGGGTTTGAACTCATGTCCTTTGAATCCAAATCCAGTGCTCATTCATTACTTTACCTCCATAGGTCTCACTTACATCATCTGAAAAATGATCCAGGGTTGGACCAAATCATCTCTAAATCCTGTGATGATTATTGCAATAGCAGGGCCTTCTAATCACACTCAAGTTTCTTCCTCCTCCTCCTCCTTTTCTTCTTCTTCTTCTTCTTCCTATCACCATCATCGTCACTATCATCATTCATTCAGTCATTCATTCATTTATTCATTCATTCAGACCTATAAGGGATCTTAGGGGCCATTTAGTTCAATTCTAATTTTACAGAGGAAGAAACTGAACTCCAGTGAGGTTAAATGCCTTACCTAATGTCATATAGGTAGTGAGTGGTAGGCCCCAGGACTCAAATGCAATACCTCCAAAAAGGCCTTAAAGGCAGCACTCTTTCCTCTGCTCCATGCCTCACAGAACCTGAGCATTAGAAGAGACCTTTGAAGCCATATAATCCTATTTCCCATCCCTAGACAGGAACTTCCCCTGCAGCGTCCTTGACACAAAGTCATCTAATCTTTACTTGAACACCTCTAGTGATGGGAAGCTCACTATCAGTCCATGCCTTTATTGGATAGCTCTAATGGTTAGAAAGGTCATTCGTGAATTGGACCAGAATATTTCTCACTCTAACTGCTGCCCAGCAATTCTGTGTCTTCCCTCTAGGGCTACAAAAACCAAGTATAACCCATCTTTCACATGTCAGGTCTTCAAAGATTTGAAAGCAGCAGTAATGCTGCCCCCTACCAAAGAAGGAAAAAAAAAAAAGCCAGTCTTTTGCCCAGGCTGGTTCATATACAGGGTGTCCCAAAATTCTTAGTGCAGTTTAAAGCTGTCAAAGCTTTTGGGCTACCTTACATACGGCTTCCAGGCCCTTCATCGCTCTGGTCACCCTTTTCAACGTCCTTCTTAAAATGTGGTGCCAAGCGGTCGCTACAAATCTCCAGGAGTGGTCTGAGCAGAGCAGAGTCCACAGACCTTGTTACCCCCCTCCTTGAGGACTTTACACGTCTGCGACGGCGGCCGACGGCCGGATGAGCTGTTCTGGCTGCACATCCCACTATGGACTCATAGCCAGCTTGTGGTCCTCAAAAGCCCCCAAGTTTTCCCCTGGATTTACTCAACTGGCGCGCTTCCCCCATCCTGTGCTTGCCCCGTTGACTTCTTCCAACACAAGAGCAGAATTCTGTCTTCATTAAATTACATCCTTCTAGTCTGCCAAAATCTTGGCCTGGGGGGTAGAGCACAGGAATTGGAATCAGAAAGACCCTTCCCAGGCTGTGTGGATCGTGGATCGCCGATCTCTCTGAGCCTCAGTTTCCTCATCTGTAAAAACGAGAGGGTCGCACTGGCCCACTAAGGTTGCTTCCAGCTCCGCCTCTGTGGTCTGATGAGTCAGCCTCTCCCATCCCGTGTTTCAGCTGTCTCTCCTCACCTCCTTCCTCTTCAAAAAATCACTTGCATGGGTGTGCGCTGTTCCCATTCCATATGAGTTAACCTTCTATGATGGGACCGTAGAGTTAGAACTGGAAGGGTATCTAGTCTAAACCCTGCTTGTGAAACTGAGGCCCGGAGAGGTTGCTTAACTTGCCCAGAGGTGGACAGATGATAAGTGACAGAAGCAAGAGCATAAATTTAGAACTGGAAGGGATCTTAGAAGTCCCTGAGTCCAGCCAATGCCCTTCATCTTCTAGATGAGACAATGGAGACTTAAAGAAGTTAAATGACTTACCCAAGGTCACGCAAGTGTCTGAGATGGGATTCACACCCAGAACTCATGCAACTCACAGTTGATGCATGTGGTTGATAATCCAGACCATGGCCACTTGACCTGAGGGACTAACGGAGTTCTATTTTCCTAACTTACTTGACAGTCCCCAAATCAGATTCTGTAAAGCCAGAACTGCATTTCTGAGTTATTCTATGAACAGTGAAAGTGACCCCGAGGTCCTAGTGGATCGCACACTCAAAATGAGTTAGTACTCAATCCCCAAATCTCAGAATTGGTGAGGGCCTTTGAGGCCGTCTAATCCAATCCTACACCCCAATGAGAAGCCATCCATCTCTCCAGCATGTAGCACATGGCGTACAAGCAGTGATCCATCCTTTGCTTGGGGACCTCCAAGGAGGAGGGACTCACTATCTCCTGAGGTAG